AACTTGGGACCAGTGGAAGCAGAGGTGGAACATAACAGGGAACAAGCTGCAGAGGAGGATGTCACGGCTCGTCTCATCAAAAGCAATATAATTCGGCTGATCAACCTCTGAAAGAATTTGGCAAAATCTGTGTCTTTTGTGGAGATGAAGAAAGCATTATGCATGGGATTTATTCAGGGATTTATATTTATTCAGATGTATTCGATTATTTAGATGTATACACCGTCATTCTCGATTGTGTCGCTGGCACATTGATTTAATAGATGAATTTCAAAGGAAAGTTTACGTTTCTCGAGCTCAAGCTTCTCCTTTTTCACCCGTAACTTCTCTGTCTCCTTCTCCAGTCTCCACATTTTTTTCTCCAGTAGCACAGATTGGAGGTCCACATCTCTTGCCCATCAAGCAGGTACAGTACAGCCACTGTCCGCGGTGCGGTTGTCGCGCTTTCCGGAGCTGTCCGTGGTGCTGAAGCTAGGTAGGATCCTCTACAGACGATGCTTTTACCAGTACTGTTTATCAACTACTTTGAAGAGGCCATGTTACCTTCATGACTGGTGTCCCATGAACTTGCATTTGACATGGAAAAAAAAGTGCCCATGCAAACGTACAAATCCCAGCAGAACGAATACATTTTTGTTGACATTGGACGGCAATTTGAGCAAAAGCACAATCAGCTGGTGTTTGCTGTCACCAGCTCCGGTTCTGGAGGGGCCCCGCCGGCCATATCCTCCCCGCTGCAGCTGCAGCCTCAAGCGGCCTCTCTGAATATGGCTGAGTGTCCGAGTAAGCCAAAACGCTGTAAAATGTACACTGCAAAAAATCCTCGTCCATAGCATCCTCTGCACTGAAATTTTGGGATGCCATTTTCACTATTAGGTCCCTTTAAGATTAGAAAGCTCAGTCTTGCTACGTGTTAATGTTATGGCTTGTTTAGTTGTAGAACAACTCTGATCAATTGAGTAATAAATAGCATGTCCTGTCACCTGTCCTGAACGATTGTCAGTAAGGTGCTTAGTGCCGTCACTCATAATTAGGTTTTATACCTTGCGCAGCGCAGTTATGCATTATAATGTCTAATGCAGCATTTTTGTTTTATTCTCTTTCACTGGTATCAAATGTGTCTATTTGCTGTGTCTCTGAGAGTGAAAAATTGGCTAATTTTACTGTCAGTCCTGCATTAGCACTTAAGAGTCAGGGTAGCTTACTCATGAGTGAAGCTTCAGTGTCTTATTTTTTTGAAGCAAATGGCAAGAATTGATTTAAGCTGCAGGTAGGTATCGGTGGTGTTGCGTCTTTGTGTTTTCATGAATGCAGTGTGTTTCGTTTATTCATTGTCTGAATAAAGTCTTATCACCAACCATTATGTAAAATATGGATATTGGAAAAGAAATCAGACGCTTGTTCAATGAGTTTTCTCTGGTGACGCATCTGCTGAGTTCAGACAAAAAAAAGGAGCGATATACAGTACAAACATAATATTCAGCATAGCAACATGCTTGTGTCATCTCAGTTATACTTAAGATCCATTCTGTTTCACAAATGAGGATTTTCTGTCCCAATAACTGGCAAAAAAAACAGCAAGTAAGCCTAAATCAGGGCTTTAAAGCATCTCTTTATAAATCTAGGAATGGTGTCTATGCTGCCATCTTCTCTGTACTCTGACTGAACAATGCAACGATGAATGGTAAAACTAATTTCCTTTCTAATTGTGTCATATTCTTAAAATCATTTAATAAACCCCAGGGTTGACAAGGCTGGTTGGACGTCATTTCTTTAACATACCACATGTTACGTTTTACTTAACCACCAGCAACACACACACGTACACACACACACACACACACACACTTACAAGCAAGCAGATGGCGTCTACTAAATGATCCAAGCCATGTGTGTATCCTTGATGGTGCATCATCGTGGAGAGAGGTGTGTGTTAGGCATGATAATGTGCCGCAATGGGAATGGGCCTGCTGGGTTACTGGAGTAATATGCAGGGACACACACACACGCACACACATGCATACACACCTGGACAGAGGATGTGAGAGCTATATTTAGAATTAACCTTTTATCACACATTTACATCATGCATATATTACACACTGGGTGGAAATCAATGAAAAACATGTTCTATATTTAAGATATGTTGATAGAAGAACGTATCAAAACGATCACATAATACCACACTTCTGAGTTGTACATACCATCAATTATTATGTGCAGTAATTAATGTGTGCCCGGTGTGGAAATGTATTATTCATGAAATATCATGGTGTTGTGCAAACACATCTGCTTAAACCAAGTGTATGAATCTACATACACACTACCTTATCTACAAGCAGCACTATGGGACCACAAACAAGAGAACGGCTATACGGAGTGCAGGTGGTGGGAGGCTGAAGAAGCAACTTTGTGTCTCCTGAAATTCTAGCAACTGAGGTAAAAAAAATATTTTCCAGTTGAAAGCAATTGTGGAATTATAAATAATGTCTGGAAATAGTTTTAAGGGTTTGTGGAACCTGAAAAAAAAAGCATGTGCTTGTTTGCAATTATTGATTATAGAGGAATTTTGTGTCTGGTGTAGAGACATTATGACGACAGGACTTCAAATATGTCAAAATATGACTGCTAATACAATTTGTGGTGAAATAACAGTTTGATTGCTCCTCTGATCTCTTAAATTGATTCGCAGTTTCAAATTGTTGTGTCTAACATTAACGTAGATACTGCAGAGACATTTTCATTTCAGAACTATTCAGTACAAGCCACTGTCTGGCCACTAATCAACTCCAACGAAGCACCTGGAGGTTTAATACCTTGCTCAAGGATCCGTCAGCAAGAATCTCTTATTTATTTCCCCACTGCAAGCTATGAAGCAACAGATTTAGGCTTGTTTCCTTTTGAAACCAAATGCACCCCATGTCCAGCAGCATCCTACAGGTCTCCAAAGAGGAAGAGATATGAGAAGGGACCAAGGTTTTTCTCTGGTTCAAAATGAGACAGAGGTGGTACCATCGTGATCATACGCACACAAGTGTATGTGTACCATCCTGTGCTAAATTGTGGCAAAATTGTTAGAGGGATAGTCAGTGGTAGTATCTGTATTTTAAATCCCTGAATATTAAATGATCATCTACAAGTTGACGTAGTGGTCAAAGTTTGTTCCTAAAGCGTGCTGAAGTATATCACATGACAAGGTTAAGCTATGTTTGAGACACTGATATACATATTAAATATGTTGTGAGTCAATTTGATTCCTCTGGCAAAAATATTAGTTTCAAAAAGAACGATTTCCAACTGATTTCCAAAGACGTTACCATCGGAAACACTTTGGCGCATGTTCATCTTGAAAGAGCGACGCCACTCAGTCAGTGACAGACTTTGATGTCTATAGGACTGGCTTCCGCTTTGCAGACGACTCTTTTTTTTCCTCTTTAGCAGTTTTGGCGGCACCTTTCCCTGTGCATTGTGCTGATTACGATACAGCGCCACCGCAACGGCGTGATGACGCAGTATACACAGTAGAGAAATGACAGAAATCCATCAAGTGCAACGCTTGTTCGAAAATAGTGTCTTCCATGAAGACGCGCGTCAGAGTTTGTCGTGGAGGAAAAACCCAACAGCAATAGAGTTACATACATGGCTACTTTTTCAACTCGCTACCTATCAATGTGGCATTAGCAAGGTGTTTATCAGTGAAGTTGCATGGATCTGAATAAATCTGGCTTGCTTCAACGATTCAGGAATGTTAGAGCACTGATGCATTTTCGGACAAGGAAAAATACATTCCAGCAGTCACTGCAGTATTCCTCCCCCCTTAGGCTATTTAGGCTCACTGTAACATAAAAACCCATGTTGTTGAAAAGCTGGATGCAAAGGCATTCCTCTTGCCTTTTGATGATTGAACAAGGAACTCATTTGGAATGCTCAGATCATTTTTCCTCCAGGGAGTATAGTTTTTAGAGCTGTCGCACTGCAGAAGGAAATAAGGCTTCAACAATGGCTACGTGTCAGTGATGTGTTCCCTTTTGGGTAACTTCCGTACATTTGCTCTCCCAGCGGGAGGAGGGGGGGAGCTGCAGGTTCAAATCTGGTCCAAAGCATGGATCTGACTAAACCTTGCATGGTTCAGTGATTCAGTAATGTGAGAGCACTGAGAGGTTCTCAAGTAGAGAAAAAAAAACACACAAATGAATGCCATTTGCATGAGGGGAAAAAAAAGCGTAATTGCCATCAGCACTTGTCCTTCGGTCGGTATGGGTAAATGGAATGTTTTGTGGATTTAAATTAAGGAGAACTTCAGAGTCAATGTAGATAGGCAAAATTATAAATCTATTGCGTATTGCACTTGCTGATGAGCTAAATCCAAATGAAACAGAATTCCATTACACAAAGGAATAAGACCAAGGTTAAACACAAATCACTAATTGAATTAGTGAGAAGCTTCCAATGGAAAACATTGAAATTGTTATTGTCCTGCACCCAACTCCCTCCTTACGCACACCAAACCAACCCACCCATCCTGACTTTCATACCCTGCCCTTTCTTCTCTCCCATCTCTACGTCCTGCTTTCCTTCCCTTCTGCCCAACCTGAAGCCAGACAGCATCGCGACTCTGCCTGACCTCTTGCAGCGCTGCAGCTACCTTCCAATGTTCCCCGTCGAGTAATTGCCTTGATTTTAATGACTTTTTCAATTATGTCTAGTTGGCTACAGCTCTCGCCCCGTAATCGCCATCATTTCCATCCATTACACTCCCGTATTCCCTTGGCAGCAATCAATCTTTGGTTTCTTTTAAATACTTTAAGGCAGCCGAGTGCCTTCTTCCCTGAATAACAGTGACAACCTCCTCATAGCAAGCTGTTCAAGGGCTATAAGGGGCGAGAAGAGGAAAGAGCCGGAGGCGCCACCAAAAGCAAAAATGTGCCTTTCTTATCAACGTTAAACACATTACAGGTTTGGCACATGAACAACACACATGCACATTGGAGAGTTCCTACCTGCTCTTTGACAGAGGCGAGGATGGAGGATGTCGTCTCTGTCTCAGATCTGTCTCCATTGGATGCTGGCATCACAGGGGCAACCATGGCCCCCTTCTCCTGCTCTGAAGGCTGCTCTGGCACCGGCATTGCTAATGTGAACAAACCCACACAAAGAAGAACCATGATTCAACTGAAGTTTTAAGCAGTAATCAAACTAAAATGGGGTAAGTAAAAATGTGTCATATCTATATCAAGTTGTTAAGCCTACAGTCAGCCCAATAAATCGACTTTGTTTAAAGTCCTCTGTAGCTCCGTATCACTTTAAGCTCTAAATCCGCCAACTTTTTAGCGGTCCAATCAAATGCAAAGGATTTGATTTGAACACCCTTTTGTAACTGTTTACTGCTCAAACATTTTTTTTATTTCAATAAAGAAGTATTGTTAAGCAGTGGTATTTATAGTGGAAAGATACGCCCAAGGTAACAGTTGTCCTGTCTTCTTTTCTCGTCGGTGGCTGTGATGAAGTGCTCACTTGTACAATCAGATTCTCCACAGTAGATATGAGATGCAGTATATGAATCTGTTGACAGAGGCGGACCACAACTGATGTTGTTAGGTGAACACAATGCATGGAAGTGTACGGAAACCAGTTCGTTTAAAAACCAGTATGGACATAACATCGGCTTCGGCAGCTTTCTGTGCAGCCTCCTTTGATCTCGGTTTCTCCTGCTGAATGTGCGTGTAGGGTTGCTAATTTCCACTAGTGGAAAATACATGTTTCGTTGAAGTATGTTTGTTTATTAGGCCTAATAGTAATTTTTACCGGTGCTTACGAGTGTCTCCCGATTGCCTGCTGAGAGCTACCAACATCCCTGAAACTGCTCATTCTGCAGACAAACAGGTGATCCTAGCTTCAAACAAAGGCGACACAAGTCAGCAATGCAGTGACGGTTCATTCAACGCTTAGGACTAATTGTAAAAATAAAGTGTTAAAAAATGTAAATTAACGCTTATGACAAGTATATCTTTCTTCATGCAAAAATGTCTAAACAGGCCTATTTGGGAATAAAATAATTTATTGATTTCTCATGCCACCTTTTGGTATTTCTATTCAAACAAATATTGATATATGTGATTGTTTGAGATTAAATCAGCATTAACATATTTCTGCCTCCCCTCAAAGTCTTTATGCCGCCCTCTTGCCACCCCATGAATATGTTTCTAGATCTTCCACTGTGTCGACAGTACTGTGTATACAGTGGATACTTGACTGAATACCAAAGCCTGGAGTTGAAATAAAACCAGCAATTAGTCTGCAACACACACCGCATCGCACTTCTCACCTGTGTCCCTGCCAGTGTGTCACTTCACAAATAGGGGTCCTGGTAGACTCATTAAAATGTGATGCCCCACTTATCACGATTTTAATTTCAATATTCAGGATAGAGGAAAAAAAGTGACGCGTGTCTCTGACTAGTTAAGTTCAAAGAAATAAGACTCTCTTGCAATTGAAAAAAAAACAAAAGCATAACATTTGGTTCTTCAACCGTCATCAAACACCACCTCGCCAACTGTAACAATACAATAATATCAGTACTGCGTGAATGCATATGTCTTTTCTCTTTGCTGGAATTCATCATAAGGGATTGGATGCACTACGGGTGACAAGATCATTTGACACTTCTAAATTGAGCCATCTATGAAACGTAAAATGTGCTTCTTTATCATGAATTGGAATAGTTTTAAATGATCAATAAAAGCCTCCGTGCCTCTTTCCTGTGTGAGCTAAGAGCACAGGGAGAGAGAGAGAGAGAGAGAGAGAGAGAGAGAGAGAGAGAGAGAGATAAAAAGTCAGAGAAATCAGGAAATTGGTCTGCAAGTTTTAGAGAGAACAGACCGTGGGGACGGGGTTTTGTCAATACAGCAGCCCAAGCTTCAGTGGAACACTAAATAATGAACTGATTGAGAGTGGGATTTGATAATGGAGTCTCTTACTTTGCAATTTGCCACGAGTCTCTGCACTTAACTTTTCCTGTTTGATGGGGAGATCCAAAGCTGCGCTAGCTTTGGTTACACCCACTCATTCTGAAAGCACACGGTGCAGCAAGTGCATGTCTGCAGTGCAAATTCAGTGATATATTTTATTCGTGTTTTACAATTTAAAGTAGGTTTTTTTTTAGAGCAAATATTTACACTAATGCATTGAGAGCTAATAAGACAGACGTTGAGGGTATGTGAGCCATTAGTGGCAAGTAAGCTTACAAAGTGAGTGAGGGATCCAGACAGCCTGCAAATCAAACAGCCAGTCAGTTTATCAGCCAGTCAGCTAGCCAACAGACAGACAGCAGGCCAGACAGGGTGGTGTCGGTAAATAAAAGATGCTAGCGAGATGGCCCGCAGATGGTTATTTTCACTCTCGCTGACAAACACCACGACTGTGTCTGGCATCTCCCCTCCTGAGTGGAGATGAGTCACCAGAGTTTGGCTCCTGAGCAACCAGAACCCCAGCAAAGACCATATCACACCAGCTGGATGACTGCCATTCTCTCGAACGAGCCAAATATTCAAGTCAGAGGGGAGAGGAAAGACTCACCTCACCGTCATTGTGGAACACCTCCGGCAATGCAGCGAATGAACCAATGCTCCATCAATAATTTAATCTCTAGCTCCTTGGCAACAGTTTCGTGCTGTGGTATTTCGGTTTTCGGTTCAACAAACCATCTTAATACGTCTGTAGAACTCAAACTTACAGTATTTTGAAATAGGCATGACAGACCTTTTTCATTGCAGGAAAATCACAGGTGTGACTAATAACGTTAATGACGGCTTCATTCCATTTAGCTGTGTCAGTAAGCAATGCCAGTATACGCCAGTCTGCACAATACCAGAGACCCTGCATTGGCACACCTAAATGAAATGCAGCCGCTGTTAGTTACACCTGTTTTGTCACAATGGCTGTACCCACTGGTTGTGTGTGTTGTCTGTTTAACGCTGATACATGTCGAGAAAAAACTCGTTCATAATTGCTTTCCGAGTTTTTGCATTAACTGACTCTGAGGAACTGGCTCGTCAGACAACCCATCCCAAGGCTTTCTGACACTATATTCACAATATTCATTAAACTGACAAAGCCACAAATACAGTGACATTTTGTAAACGAAGCGAGGTGTGAGTGATTTTGATAAGTGAATTCTTACAGCCAAAGACAGGAAGGAAAAAAAATTAAATCCTGATCCAAACCCAGGAGCAAAGCAGTTTTTGAGCCTCTGCATACAACAATACGGATCATTGTGAACAATTTATCGCCTGAGAAAGCCAGCGATTCATATTTAGAGAAGGCACAAACCCCTTTGTGGTTAGTGTCCAGACAGGTGATGTGTTCAGAAAACAGCCAAAATTGCCTCCCTGTATATTGGCTGCTTCAGAGATAATCCCAGTGGCAACACGTTCGGCGTCAAATGTCACAATACTCCACCACCCCAGTGTTCTTCCCGGGTTATTGTCGGCAGGCAGAGTCGGGCTGCTATTGAATAGATGTGTTACGTCCTGCAGGGTACAATGTAACAGGAGCCTCAGTTTAGAAAAGGGGCCTTTTGTAGCTCTGGGGAAACAGTTAATTGCAGTACATTCTGGCTGATTTGAGTTGGGCGCAGCTTCCCGTTGAACTGAGTAGGAATGATGGCCTGACATTTCATTTGGCTCAGACCTAGATAAGACATGAAAAAGTTTTGTTTTTGACAGCATGGTAGAGGACCCAGCTATTGGCAGATTGCCTTTGAGAACAAAGAGTAAACAACAAAAGAAAACTTTCAACAGGAAAAAAAAAAGAGATCACAGTTTGAAGTAGTACTACTCCGTATTTCTTCAACCAGTCAAAGAATTACTATATCTTACTCTGTATATCTTGCAGGCATATGTCTCCTTTTCAGACTCAACAACAACTCAACCCTGAAGGGTCATGGATACTAAAACAATATGCACTTATTTTGTACATTATTGGTCGGCACATCGGCATCTCTCTGCAGTCTTTTTTTCAATCCATTATCCACGTACTGCATCAATGCTTCACTTCATTTGCATTCCACATATTTGCAATTTGAAAACAGCTTTAGTTCAATGACGCTACCATTATCTTGGTAGTTCCACTGTGGAACATATGCGGAGGTGGATAAAGAGTTCAGCCACTCCTAAGGATCGGTATTGGGGGCCAATCCGGGCGCATATTTCAATGGATTGTTAATTCTGTTTGCTCGTGTAGCACATTGTGAATAAGGTGGGCCTAATTTAGAAGGCTACAGCTGTTATTTCACTACATATATATTTAATCAACATTAAGGTTGAGTATCGGATTAGACTAGCTATAGGCAGGACAAAAAAACGAGATCCTATCTTGAGAATAAAGTTATGTCATATAATGCAACTGACATTAATTTGGATTGTAAAAAATATGCTTTATATTTGCTTGTAAATTAAGATTTCGATAAATATATTTGATAAACCAATCAGCCGACTGACTATACTAAATGCAGAAACATTGGTTGAGGGTTTTGGGCTTTTAGCATTAGGTTTCAATGCTTAAATGACAGAAATCTCATCAGTTAGTTTCCAGGTTTTATGTAGAATTGCTCATTTAAATCAGAATTTGGGCGATGTGGTCTATGATTGGTCTACTTTGTTCTTACCGTCTGCTCACAATAGGTCCATTTTACAGTAGCAGGGTAAACAGGTGTTCCTTTTAGGTGGGCCAGGGCCCAGATATTGTGCATTCTGCCTCACTGGAATGGCTTTGACACACTAAATAGAACGGGACCATAATTCATTGAATCAATTACACCGGTGTTCACCCTGCAATGTCCTGTCAAAATGGCTGCTGTGAAAAGAACCTATTGAAAACAAAGTACTTCTGCTCCACACACAGACAAAAAAACACATGCATGTTGGTACAAACACAGAGGTGACTCACACCTTGAGTCATAGAATTTGACAGGGCGGAGACCTCTGGCCCATGCTCACACCACAACCTGACAGGCCTCCACACCTGCCCCCTTCCGGCTGAGCACACCTTACATGTGCGTGCTCACACTATAAAACACACACCCATAAACACACGTTTGGCCCAGTCACACACCTTCCTCTGAGGTTCAGTGAG